TTCAACCTCGATCCTTTCAACCTCGATCCTTTCAACCTCGATCCTTTCAACCTCGATCCTTTCAACCTCGATCCTTTCAACCTCGATCCTTTCAACCTCAATCCTGAACCTCGATCGTCTTCTCTGGCGACTGCCGAATGATATGCTCGATGCTCATGTCACCAGATGACACGATAGCCAGACTACTACGACGACGTTGACTCAGCATTCTGCAGAACCGTATGTTGGTCATGGGTCAGATACCCGCTCCGAAGAGTCGGATGTCCCCAAGAGCAAGAATCTCGTACAGGAAAACAGGAGGCTCTACATGCTACAAGGCGTCAAGGCCAACGCAGTCAAGTTCGGCGGACAGGGCCATGCTCATACTAGTGGCCATTCAGAGACAATCCCTTGCCACCTTGACCTGATACTGAGACTACTATCACCCCGTGGCCTTATCCTTGGACCAACCGTCTCCAGTGCGTTTCGAAAGGCTTCGACTACGACGAAACCCTCCGCGGCCGTGATTAAACCTGCACCCTACCGCATTTTCCTCTCACTCCCCGCACATTATGGATGGGAAATACACCGGCAAGACACGGTTGAGGCATGACGCATGCACCGCACGGCTACCACATTCTCTCTGCACGGGCCACTCTCTTTGGTGGGAAATGAACACTACTGGAATGTCGGACAGTCGTTGATAATCTTGCCCAGCACCGTCCTCGTCTGCTCTCACGCAGCACCCAGACTGCGTCCATACGCACAAACTCTAGGCTCGAAATCCTCGGACTGGTTGGTCACCCCAGCTTTCCCCATGGCGGCACCCGCACGCCCCCTTCTGTGATTCTGTCTTCTGAGACTAACGGGCAGGAGGAACAGGCAAAAAGACCTCGTCCCGGGGCGAGGCTCTTACCACTTCACTTCTCCTCCTCCTCCTCCCCCGATTGCAGCAATGATCCGTGATTTCGATTGAAAGTTGCTTCGCCAAGGCCGAAATCTGATATAAGTCACGGAACGGAACCGTGGCTCAGGTTGTGATTGGCCGGTCGTCACAGGAACGATCGGCGTGATTGGAATGTGAAGTTTCAAACATTCAACATTTAAAAACAAGGTCTCACCCAGACAGAACGTTGGTCGCCGAATCATCGATCACACACTTTTTCTTTTGGTGACTATCTTGTGTGTCACAGCTGAAAGAGAGCTGAACAAAGAAGTGAAGAAGTTGGGTTGTCTTTGACACGGCAATCTGCATACCACACACCAACCTTTCAATATTACCGCAACTCCTGATCTCAAGGGCAAACACGCTCAGCACTCATGGCTCCTCGTCGCTCTCCTCGCCGTCCTCAAACTCCCACTCCTCCCTCGCCGACTCCTCCCCCTCCTCCCCCTGCTCCCGCTGCTCCCTCTCCCCGCAGAAGCGCCCGGCTGCAGAAGAAAAGCCAGGCTCCCAAAGCCGGCAGTGGAAATGATGATACAGTGAAGAAACAGCCATCGTCCGCATCATTGACTAGCAAATCTCCTGGAAAACAGGCAAGTCCGAGGATACAAGATATTGAGCTGACGACTGACGCAGATCAGGCACGTCCAAAAGGCAGTGGCCAGCGAAAGAAGAGCAAGAAGACACGAAGATCCCAGACAAAGAAAAAAGGGAAGACCGTACCGGAAGCGGTGACAACTCCCACAGAGGATCCAATAGAGCAGCAACGTTCTGGGGGCGTGGCTGACGCGACCAAGACTCCTTGTGCGGACGGAGAGCCTTCACCACCAGCCTGCGACGGCGAAGACCAAGACGATTGCGACGCAATTACACACTGGGCCAGAACCAAAAAATGGCCGAAGAACTTCTCGACCATGGCTCCAGTTGCCCAGGCATCCACAAAAAGAAAGCAAGAAGAAAGCTGCTGCACACAGAGGACCAACACAGTTCCAAGAGTGGACAGCCGTGGGTTTGAACGACTTCTTGAGGAAAAAGGGGTTTTTGTCAATGCCCGCGCAGGTAAACCGTTCGTGCATCAGGAGAGTATCGATCTATGCAACAACCTGTTGAAGGCCGATTACCCTGACCCGGTGGAAACGCATCTCCCAGTCGACAAATTCCAAGTCATGATGGACCATATACGGGGCCGCAACAAGAGGCGCATCTTCCGGGATGTCACCCCCTTCCTCGTGCCTTCGCCATTTATACTCTTTATCCGTGGTGACGAAAAATTGCGAGACGTAGCAGACGCGACAAGGGTTTCTTGGGGAAAATATGACCAAATGGCAGGTCCAAAACCGAGACCGGATATGACCATCGGCCTAGCGAAAACCGCCTTCACTGCCGCGGAGATTAAGAAGTTACAGTTCCTTACCTCCCATGAGACACCGACACTTTTTGCGGGCACCATCTACTTTCCATTTCTCATCTGCAAAGTCAAGAGAAATGAAACAGCATTGGTCCGAGCTCTACGACAGAGCACAAGAGCCAGTGCCATGGCCGTCACCGCTATCGTTCAGCTGCACCGCCGGGTCTTGGGGAACGACGAAGCTGAAAAGCTCAGCGGCAAGATCCTGGTCTTCTCGGTTTCTCACACATACCATCACGTCACGATCCGCGGACACTTTCCTGTCGTTAAAGGAACTGATACTAAGATCTATTGCTATAACGTCTTCCATTCAACCCTGGAGGAAAATCCTGTGACTGACACCCGAAAGCTGACGTATAACTTTGTACGAAAGATATACGACGATTTCTATCCCAAACATCTGAAGAGCATCACAGACGTTCTTGGAAAGATGAAGGCTATTGAAACGATGTCGATTGCGTCGATAATAAGTGGCGACTTGGATCAGTCAGAAGAGTCACAGCCTGCGCACTCGTCAAGCCTGACGAGCACGTCGAACCTGTCCAGCTCGTCGTACCTGTCGAGCCCGTCGATCCCGTCAAGCTCGCCGTACCCATCAAGCTCGCCGTACCCGTCAAGCCCGTCGAACCCGTCAAGCTCGTCAAACCCGTCAAAGGCAAACACTACACCAAAGTCCGATGGTCCAGCCAGAAAGAGACAAAAGAGAGGACCGGCAGTCGAACAGGGGCAAACTTTGGTAACAAAGGATGAGTTAGATCAGTTCAGACAGATGGTCAAGGGCGGGTTCGAGGAGCTCAAGGAGCTCAAGGAGATGATGATGAAGACAACGACGGGCCAGAAGCAGGGCTGAGGAGGCATGTTTGCGCAACCAGGCTGGGTTGGTATTACGCCTGCGTCGCTGCCGACTCTTGGGCTGGTGAGCCGAGCCGTGGCATTCATTCTTTACACGGACCCATGGCTGACGGACACAGACAGACACACTCTCTCCTTGTTGGGTTCACGATTTGCACACGGACTTGCTCGGTATTGGTTGGAATTGAACGGGTCATTCATTGGCTTTGGGCTGATGGGAGTGTTCTGGGTGAGTGTCTGTCTGTCTGTTTGTCTCTCTATGCCGGCTCACGCACTAACACTCCATCATCTTGTCATAGGTCTTTCTTTCTTTCTTTCTTTCCTATTCTATTCTATTCTAGCCAGCCAGCTAGCTAGCTAGCTAGCCAGCCAACAAGCGCTGTTATCACGATCGACTTGTTTGTTTTGCCGTTTCTCTATGTTATCTATCATCCATTGGAGTCAATATCTTGCCACGCAACCTCCATCCATCCGTCCGTCCGTCTTTGTCAGAGTCCTTTGAAGGTCTTTTGAGTTGCCCTCAATATCCTCAACGCCCTTCCCTCTCCGCTCAATCCCCTTGGAAGGCCAGACCCAAGTCCGCACATACAGCACAGATCAACGCAAAAGAAATTGACCGGTCGAGTTCATTGCCAGTCGACAAGTTGGCAGTTGCCAGTTGGCAAGTTGGCAAGTTGGCAGTTTGTCCTTTTTTTCCCCAAGTAACCCGCCACCCACCCCTCCCTCGTTTGAAGCTCCGTCAAGACGAGGGTTTTCTTCCTTTCGGTGCCCGTGTTTCTTACTTCCTATTTCACCTGTGCTGGTGGTGCCCGGCTTGCCCCAGTCAGAGTCCAGCCGCTGTGTGTCTTTATCTGTGTCTGCCGTACGGCTGGACTGGGCTGGGCAGGACAGGGCTGGGCAGGATAGGTATGCTATGGCAAGGCATGAGAGGCGAGGCAGGACAAGGAAAGACAGGGCATTTCATTCATAACGGCCACTGGCCGCTGGATCCAACTAACCCCTAACACATCCATCCATCCATCCATGACCCATCCATAATCCATCCAAGACCCATCCATGACCCATCCATAGTCCATCCATGCTCCATCCATGCTCCATTAGCCACAGAGGCCGTCATGCCCACAGAGGCCGTCACACATACAGAGGGTTGTCAACATGTCCCCCCTCACGCGGGCGACTACCGCCGGCGGCCTGCTCGTCAGCCTTGCGTTTCACGCCTCGAGTCTCCGTGCCTCGCGTCATCTCATCCTTGACCATGTCCTTATGCGCCTGCTTGACTACTTCAACTCTCAACCGCAACCGATCCCATTCCCGCTCTCGATCCTCCCGATCACGTTCCTCCTGACGGCGGTAGCGTTCCCATAAGTGGAGGCTATCCTGCCACTTATCCTCGGCCTTTTCGATTGAGTGTTGGATTCTCACGAGCAACTTGCGGTTGTACTCGGTGACGAGTTGCAGGTCCTCCAGTTCATGCTCCAGCGGGCTCATGGGCCATTTCTGCCGGACTTCTCTGTGGTATCTCAACTCGTCGTCCTCGAGCTCATACTCCCACAACTCGCTGCGCGTCAAGATGGGTCGGATCGGCGGGCCGGGCTGGAAGAGCTGTGCGCACATCTTCCAGGCCAGTTGTAGATCGTACTTGGACTTTTTTTCCTCCACACGGCGAATGAGGTCCTTCTGGCGTTCGATCAAGTCCTCCTGTTCATCACGTTTCTGCCGGAGCTGATGAACTTTCCGGGTCTGCTCTGCCACTACTGTGTCATTGACATTCCCATGATTGACATTCGCATGATTGACGTTCCCATGATTGACATTCGCATGATTGACGTTCCCATGATTGACATTCGCATGATTGACGTTCCCATGATTGACATTCGCATGATTGACGTTCCCATGATTGACATTCCCACGATTGACATTCCCACGATTGACATTCCCACGATTGACATTCCCGCCATTGTCATTCCCGCCATTGTCATTCTCGCCATTGTCATCCCCGTCATCGTCGTTCTCGCTAACGTCACTCTCGCTCGATTCATCCACCTCATCGACCTCTTGCTGGCTGTAGGCCGGGGGGGGCTCACGCTCCGCGGGCGGAATCCACTTTCTCATTCTGACGGGTGCGGCTCGGTCGAGGAAGGGCAGACCGAACTGATCCTGCGTTTTTCAAACAGTAAGCTCACGTCCACGGGACTGGAATGTGAATCCGTATAGTGGCCAACACACCCGATGCCTGACGTTATCCGACATTCTGACTCGAGGCTCGGCCAGGTTTCTCGGAGGCTGCGGTCGACAACGGGGGGGGGGGGGAGGGGTATTCGGTCTGTGGATGCTTTCTGGTCAGCACAACGGCGGCTCAGCGTGGAGGACACAAAGGATCCCAACTGCCCTCGACGTAGATGGGCACGCTGCGTTGTCTGCGCTGTAGTCTGCGCGGTCAGCGATGCGGTGCAGTGCGGTGCTTGGAGGAAGGGAGAGTTGAGGACTGCCTCGACGTGCGGCTGAATATCAAAGAGGAGGTGAGGGTCTTGGCGTCACGTGTCAAAGTGGTGACGACACGAAGCAAATAGGTGAGGGGAGATTATGTTGGGGGGCTTGGCATCACGTGATATGAAACCATGAAGCGGACAAGGAGATGAGGATACTCACCGAGACCTTGAGGATTGATATGTATATATACAGAAGAGGCAGGGAGTCCCTACCATGCCGAGACTGACTTCGAGGAAAGGAGAATCGTCAAGATATCGATCTCGGGATCAAGGATGGAGAACCCTTGTCGTCGTTGGTGTCGAGGATCGAAGGGCGAAGGGAGTTGAAGGTCTCGGGGATCGAAGAGGCAGAGAGTCGTCGAGATATCGGTCTCCGGATCGAGGAGGAAGTAGCCCTTTCCTTCGTTTGTGCCAAAGTTCGAAAGAGGAAGGGAAGGGGGCTGTTCAAGATCTCGAGGATCGAGGAGGGAGAGAGCCCTTACCCCGATGGGCCCGAAGGCCAGGAGGGAAGTATCGTCGAGATATCTATCCCGGGATCAAGGATTGAGAGACTTTTTCTTCGTTAGTGTCGAAGATTCAAGGGGGAAGATCTCGAGGATCGAACTCACAGAGAGCCTTTGTCTTGGCGATATCTTGATGGCTCAAGACCGTAGGCTAGAGATATTCAAGGGCGCCGAGAATTGAACAGGTAGAGAGTCCTTACCACGGTAGGCCTGACAATAAGGAGGGCAGAGCTGTCGAGATGTCTCGGGATCCAGGAATGGAAGAAGCCTTTTCTTCGTTGATGCCAAAGATCGACTGGGAGGATCGAATCTGGAAGATCTCGAGTTGAGGATTGAACAGGTAGAGCCCCTACCACAACGAGCCTGATACTGAGGAGGGTAGAGCTGTCGAGATATCTATCCCGGGATTGATTGAGGTGACGGTACCCCTTTTCTCCATCAGTGCCAAATATCGAAAAGGGGAAAGGGAATACTAACCGAAATCTTGTCGGTGATATCTTGATGGCCAAAGACAAAACGGGTTAAATATATGCACCAAAGGCCATTCAGGACCGAAGAGGCAGTGTGGCCTTGGTTTGGTCGATCCACTGTCGGGTGCTTAAGTAGAAGAAGCCTTTCGTGTGTGCGTTTTGCTGTCTGAATCTTGAACTTCTCGTTTAGATCGACCCGAGATTTCCCTCAGGGTTGAGGAATGGAGGTGATATCCTACTCAGAGGTGATAGTTTGGTCGATCCAGGTGGGGACGTGAGTAGAAGCCCTTCGTGTGGGCGTTTCACGGTCTGACTTCTGACCTTCTCGTTTAGATCGAGTCGAAATTTTCCTCAGGGATGAAGAATGGAGGGAATACCCTCTTCGAAGGTGATAGGGATGATATTTAAAGCCTGGAATTCAGTCTCGGTTTCGTCGATTCACTGTCGTATACAGAAGTAGAAGCCCTTGGTATATCCGTTTCGCGGCCTGAATCTTGACCTTCTCGTTTAGATCGAGTTGAGACTGTCCTCTGGGTTGAAGAATGAAAGTGATACCCTCTTCGAAGGCGATCTAGTCGGATACGGGAGTAGAAGCCCTTTTTGTATACGTTTGCTGTCTGCATTTTGACCTTCTCGCTTGGATCGAGTCGAGATTTTTGAACTTCTCGCTTAGATCGAGTCGAGGTCTTCCTCCGGGGAGAAGAAGTCCTTTGCGTGGGCGTTTCGCGGCCTAAATCTTGACCTTCTCGTTGGATCGACCCGAGTCGAGGTCTTCCTCCGGCTTGAAGAATGAAGGTCGATCCACTGTTGGGTACGGGAGAAGAAGCCCTTCTTTTGGGCGTTTCGCGGCCCGAATCTTGACCTTCTCGTTTGGATCGACCCGAGTCGAGGTCTTCCTCCGGGGAGAAGAATGACCACGACGGACGGCTTTCGTGTCTGGAAGCCGTGCTAGGGCTTCCCAGAGAATGCCGCCGATATATATATAAGAATGTATATATAGGTTGCTAGCTAGCCAACTGGTCGCTGGCAGCTAGAGGAGGAGGTGTAACACTTTCTGTGTCTGTGTCTCCCTTGGTAATTGTCCGAGGGTGGACAAGGTCCCTCTCTGAGAGAGGGTCTCGAGAGAGTTGTCTCTCTCGGAGGAGGGAAAGGGAGATGGTGAGTGTTGAAAAAGATCTCATCGAGGGTCGAAGAAGGGGGAGATATAAATAATTTCCAAGACAGAGAACGAGGAAGAGCCGTCAAGGGTTCTTGGTGATGGTCACGGGCAGAGGAAGCGGAACAATAAGGAGAAGTAGCACAATAGGCAGAACAATAGGCAGAATGAGAGGTAGAATAAGAAGAAGGACAGAAGCAGAGCGTGAAGCAGAATGTGAAACAGAATGAGAAGCAGAATGAGAAGCAGAATGAGAAGCAGAACGTGAAGAAGAATGAGAACCAGAGGAAGAAGCGGAGATGCAGAGTTGCAGCGATGCAGTAATGTATTATTGTGTACAGCAGTGTTGTGCTACAGCAATGTCAGTCTAAGAGACGACTAAGGATGCTTTCTATCGAATATTAATGCCGCCTTGTCATAGGAACCAGTGCCTTTTCTTTACTTCTCCTGTTGTCTGTCCACCATACCATGTTCTCATAACAATACATTGACAATGTGCTTTTGTAGGTGTTGATGCGAAGGGCGATTAGTGATGAAGTGTTGACGTGAAGGGAAGTTGTGCTGATAGGTGTCGACGTGAAGGGAAGTTGTGCTGATTAGATGTCGACGTCAAGGGAGGTTGTAGTGTTCAGAGTGCGGATTTGGCCACCGCGACAGCCTTCAGGGCCTCTTCTTTGGTCCGCATCACGGTTGTCAACCACTGCATGGCTTTCTCGACAATCAAGTCCCAGACCTCCTCCTCTTCTGGCACTTTGAGCTTCAACCAGGCAACCGACAACGCCGTAGCGCGAATACCATCTTGATCCATACCATACAACCGCAGAGCTCGATAGCGACTCTCAGTCAACCCCAGGAGGGCGACTAGGTCTCCAGAATGATGCCACGCACCATTGTACTCAACCAAGATGAGGACTTGGTACATTTTCCCGGTATCATCGTAGGAAAGCCACCCGGCGTGAGGACCGCGGGGCTGGACTGCATCTCGAGCTGGTGGCACGACGCTTCCAAACAGGCTGGTATGGCGGACATTGTCAGGGACCGGGGTACCGATAGCTCCAAACACGCTTCCAGTGTTGTCACTAGTGTAGTCGGGCGTGCTCAATCCGAACATGCTCATACGGCGAGGATTGTAGGCAGGAATGAAGGAACTGACCGTATCGCTTCTTCGGAGAGGTGGAGCTGCTGGATTGAAGCTGACTGGTGGCGAGGGCGGGGTAGGTTCTCTGGCCGCATACAATTGCACATTGCTGCCGGGTGAGGTCACCACGATCGTAGGGAGGGCGGTGGTGCTAGCCGATGCTGCAGAGGTCGTGGCCTCTTCAGTGTTCGGATGTGGTTCGTCCATAGTTTCGACTGCCACGAAGGAGGACCACTGGCCGCCGACTTGGTACAGGACTCCCAAGCGAACGGCCTCACGTTCGACCATGAGAGAGAACACGTTCTTGTAAACCGACTTCATTAGCTGGCCATCTGGTGTCTTTGCGTCGGTGAGCCATCCAAACTCGTCTTCCAGCTCGCCAATGGCCTTCATGGCGGCCAGTTTGTGGATTGTTGTACCCACGCCAATGTCTTGGACAGGGAATTCCATAATAAGAGGACCATTGATAGTGGTGCCGCGAAACACAACAGACTTTGGGGTCTTCTTAGATGCTCCAGGAGAGAGCAATAGATAGACAGTGGCGGGATTGTTTGGGTACAATGCTGGCATGCCGTGGGGGGCTTGGATGTATTTGGGCAAGGGGACCGATGGCAAGTTGTCGTAACGCCCCTCTGGGGGGTTTTGTGGAGCTTCAGTGGAATTGAGATCAATCAGAGGAATGGAGTTCTCCGACATCAACCCCGGCGTGAGAGTATTGTTCTGCAGCTCACTCGTCCCAAAGTCTTGCTCAAAACCGGCGTCGTCGTCGGCATATTTGAACTCAAAGGCATAGCCAGTGACATGAGGCGTCAAGGCCCCTTTCAACATACGGAGGATGGCTTTGTCCATCTTGTCGTGTGAAGAAATGAACTGACTAAAGCCCCCACCGGCATTGGCGATGCCGTCGATGAGGGAGGCCGAAACAGTGGGACCAATGCCCAAAGAAAAGAAACGAGAGTTGGGTGTCTCTTTGATGATGTTGAAAAGGCGTTGGTGACTCCAGAGGTCACCGTCGGTGAGGATCAAGATTTCCAGAGGGAGTTCGGGGTCAAGACGTCGGGCAATGGTTGCTTTGACTGGATGGATCAAGTCAGACCCGCCATATCTGGCATCGAGGGAATCCAGATGGTTCCTAGCCCCGTCCAGACTGAATTTGTCGTAGGTGACACTCTTCTGGAAGAAGAATGAGAAGTACGTGCCAAAGGAGCAAATATTGAATTTGACCCCGACGGGAAGTGACTTGACAAAGACGTGCATGGCGGATCTCAACAATGGAATCTTGCTCTGCATGCTTCCGCTTCTATCAACTATGAAGACAATCTCGGGTGAGATTCTGGGGAGCTGCTTTTTGGGCTC